AAAGTGATTTTTTTGATTCCCGGGGGGGGGGGGGGGGGGAGTTAATAATTTACCACAGACAGGATTATTTTCCCCACTCCACCCCTGCTGAAGTTTTAGACTGGCACCCACGCAGGTGCAGGGATTTGCTCACCCCTACGCCTTAAGCGTTCAGAAATCAGGGAGACAACACGGGAGCCGCTGGCTCCGGGAGACGTGTGGTGGCTACGGCACTTACCCAACATTCCCATCCCTAGCATAAAAGCGTCCATGGTATACGGTAATCCACGTGCCCTTCCTCTCGTCCCTGGTGGAAACATCACTTCTTTAGGTTGTGCTTTCTTACATTCTACCTATTGAGCAGAAACATGTACAAATGAGATGCAAATGAATTCCATGTAAATGTCAAATGCAGAACTGATCTACTTAAGGGGGGAGTTTTATTTTTAGCATTTACCTCCCCACACCGCCTCCCCCTCAAAGGTGAACTTTAAGAACAGCATAAACGGATTTAAAAGAGCAAACGTGTACGTCTCTTTAAACACACATAGCAAAACCCCACTGTAAAGATGACAGAAACGCTGATTTAAGAAGTTGCCGTGTTCTGAAAGGAAAACCTGTGCTGCGTTCACTCTCAATGATACTCGCGGGCGTGGAATGAATGGAGGGAGGTCTCCAGCACAGCTCTGTGGCAATCGATAACAGAAAATGACTCTTGGCTATCATTACAAAAAGCTCCTTTTAAAATAGGAATAAAGAATCAATATTTCTACCCAGCAGAAAATTTCTGTAAACCTATTAATGAACAATCTGCATTCTTTCACTTCCAGTTACTCCTGCTGCCTTTTGAAGTTGCTCAGTGCCACCTGAACCACATTGCGAGCCTCCGCCAACACCTTGTGAGAGGCGGGGACCCAGCCCCGCTGGCAGCAGGACATCCAGGGCCCCCAGCCGCACTGCTGGGTGCTGGTTCTCAGCTGCTTTTTGGATAGGAAAAGGGAGAAATAAAGCACTTGTCCATGTTCTCCAGCTCCAGCACTGCCGACTCGCCCCCTGCAGCAGACTGGCCCCGCGCTCCCCTTGGCGCTGGTGCTACAGCCATGCTGGTAAGCCGGTTTGGAGCTAATCAGAGTTATCCCAACCCATTTCTATGGCTCTACACCTTAGTCCATGCTCTGAGCAAGAGGAAAACGTGCAGACGTGCAGTGCAGCCCTGCATGGGGTGCGGGGAAGCCCCAAGCCACCGTCTGCCCTACCTGTACTGTTCGCATGATGAGAATCGCTGGTCTAAAGGTAAGGGTCTCGGGCTGAATCCAGAGGTTTGAGCTTTATGCCTCTAACTTTGTTCTTCAACCAGTTCCTCGTCCTCTTTGCACATTTACGCTCCCCCTGGCCCTTGCCTGACCAGACCAGAGTGGGAGCAGGGGTGCCGCAAGCCGGGACCGTGCTCCCGACAGACGTGGTGGCACGGGCACATGCAGCCCCGCTGCCCTCAGCCCTCCCGGACATGGCGCTGCCAGCCTGCGGGCAGGGGCTCGGGAACGGGGCTGCTTGTCATGGAGGACTAGGAGGGTCGGCTCCGAGCAGGGTCATGTTTCCCGCGTCACCTCCATCGCTCGCACAAGCACAGAAAGGTGGGTGTGCGCCCCGCGCGCAAGCAGGTAACTACCCCAGGCAAGCCCGGGGATGTAGGATAATACGGCTAAACATCTCGGTGCCTAATAGCCCGATCAGTGACTATGTATTCATTGTCTTATGAAAACCAACCGCCTGTTCCTAGGCAACCCGATCAGTGAAAATTTCAGGTTTATACAATTTTCATTTAGGTAACATAAAGGTTAACTGACTGTAATGGGAGTATTTTACACAAAACCACCTACTCCTCCCCCTTCTGCTGCAAACCTCCACAGACCGTATTTACTTTGCTTGCTTGCAATACTTCCCGAAGCTACAATGCTCAGACACTGCCAACGCTGCCAAAACACGCACTTCTTGCAAACAAGCTGCCCCAACCCAGTGAAGTTTGGAGCAAAATCCTTCTGGAGTTCATGTTTTGCTACTCTTCTGCCAAGAAGTGTTTGGGTCCTTGCAGGAGGCAGCAGCAGGGCAGAGAGGGACCAGGGACGGCTGCAGTAGGGAGGCTTGTGCACAGCCCGGACCCCGCTGCGCAAGGGAAACAGGGAAAACGGGCCAGCAGGAGCAAGAGCAAGAGAGGTGTTGAAGAGACCCGCTCTCCGGACATCCCGAAACTCAGGCGCAGCCACAACGGGGCCAGCGATTTCCTCCATCTCCTCCTCAGTGCTGTTTCTCTCTCTGGGAGAGAAACACCCCAGTGAGGGCCATGGTGAGAACCGGTGCGTCCTCCAGCCAGGGCCACCAACCTCCACACCCCTGTCCCCTGCACAACACACACCCACTCCCACACTCCCATGCACACGCGCAGACTCCCGCAGGCACATGACGGTGCAGACACACTACTGAGCGCACGATGGAGAGCCCCACGGTGCCCCACAGGGTTCCCAGGTCCTGATATTAAGACAAAAAAGAGAAAGAAAAGGAAACAGAAAACTTCGTATCAATGAATTCGTTGTGCAGCCGCTCGCACGCTGAGGTGCTGCTGCCAGAGCGGGGCTGGGGATGAGGACAGTGCAGGATACATATGCCCATCGCTGGCCCGCCAGGATGAAGCCTTCAGAGCTTCCCAGGGAGGTGTAAGCCTGAGCCTCGATGGTGGGTTTCAGCCTAATTCGGCTGTGTGCCGCCCGACACCTCAGTGCCCCAGAAAGCCCCACAGCCCAAAGCCGGCAGCCTGCCGCTACCTCCCCTCTCCATCAACCGCCCCGGAGAGCCCAGGGACACAGCAAGCTCGAAACGCCGAGCACCAACGCCAGCCTCCCTCCCCGCCAGCCTGCACGCCAGCACAGCAGCTCAGCAATATCCTCGCAAAGCGTGCTTTGCTTATTTTTAATCAGAGGGGCATTTAACAGGAGTCTGCCAATCTAATTTCTCCAGCCAAATGACCAGGGGTGAGCACCAGAAGTGTGTCATTTCATTTCGCAACCACATTTTTCAGGTTCGCCACCACTCCAAATGTCACGGCAGCATTGGTTACACCTCGCAGCCGCTTGTGCTGCAAACAATCAGGATGATAAAAACAATCTAGCTTGGCTCGACGGACAATTAACAGGAAAATGAAGTTTGGATTAGCACCGTTAGAAACAATATCCCAGTAATTAGCTTTTGCAACCACAAAACAGCCTACCGCTGCTCTCTGAAAGACTAGCGTAATTTATGATTTTCACAGCACACGAGGATATAAAGGGAATGGCAGCGAGCTGCAAAGAAGTTTTAACTGGGACTTAAAGGGGAAGAAAAAGTCACCAGTAGGAAAGAAAAATAATTCCTAAGCCTTTGTAAACAAATATACCCCATATCGAAGGCAAAAATATTCTCCGTTATCCAGCAGAGACTCCTTCCCCCTGGGAGGGATAAGATGCAAGATACGGGACCAGGAGCCCCAGCCCCGCTCTGCCATCCCTCGGGAAGGGGCTGCATGACCCCGGCCCGGCAGCACGCCTCGGGTGGATTTTTACACTCCCCGTTCAGCCACGTCAGGCCTTCAGGTGCTCTGCAGAAGCTGTCCACGCACCATCCCATCGGCAAACGGGGAAAACGCAGCAATGGGAGGTGAAGCACCATGTCAGTGGACCAGTGGTGGGCTTGGATGGTGCCTCTTCATCAACACAGGCAGCAAAAGGGGAAAAAAAAGAGCCAGGTTGCTTGTCTGCAAAAAGCCAGTCCTGCTCCCCCCTGGGTAACGGGATGGAGATGCCTATAACCATCCCGCAGCCACTGTTACCGTGAGGGTGAAACCCTGGAGGCAGCAGGGATGTCACACGCGTGCTGGCAAAGCGGGACGTGCGACGGGCCTTCTCCAAGAGGCAATGGATCTGGATTTATGAGTCAGTGCTCAGCTCTGTACCAAATCACCCCCAAGAGCCCGCCCGATGCGGGTACTTCATACATAAATTTGGATCTTGCACAAACTTTCAGTTCAGCATTTCTGTACATCTTAATAATTTCCAGATTTTTTCCACCTCCCCTGTATGAGGGATGTGCTTCACTTTCAGCAGCCTAACAAAGAAAGTTTTAACTCTAAGGCTAAAAAAAAAGAAAGGCAGGGAAACTAAAATTCACTGTTTTTGTTTAGTCTAGTTTGGAGAATTAACATTACACTGGAGTACTCTTGGGTCAAGCCGAGCAGTCGAAGCCACGAGAACCCAGGAGCTGAGATGGGGAGTGAAAAGCCTCTTATACCCAGTGCAACAACACAGGCTGTCAGCTCGCAGCACCAGGATGTCTCAAAAACCATGGCTAACAGCTTTCCAGGGAAACCAGGGCTATTTTGAGGAAAGCAGAATGCGCACATACTCACAATGCACAAAAAAAACATTTTACCACCCAAAGACAAGGCAACTTTGTCTTGCCAGCAATGTGCAATTCACAGTTAGCTGAGATTCGATTACCTTGGGGACGCCATGTCATTCATGCCATGGCAAGCCAAAACTATCGCTCCTCTAACAGAGGAATCTGTATTCACCCGGTCCTGCCGCAAAGGCAGGGCGACACCAGGCCACGGAAGACAGGTTATAAGCATATTTTAAAAAACCCATTAGATCATTGACAAAGGTGGGGACAATGGGGACGGAAGCTGCTCAGTGTGTCCTCAGACCGTAAGAGAAGTCGGCAGCTACGGGAGAGCAGAGGAGCCTGCCAGAGTTTCTTGCGATTCATCAATTCAGTTTGTCCCCAAAACACCCGATAACATCCAGCGTCGGGCAGCTCCTTGTCCTGTGCGGGCTGGAGAACCCAGCCACCCTTGGAGAACCTGGCAAGGGCGGCGTCACTGTACAGCTCATGAGCTACATAATTTAAAGCACGGTGAAGACAACTCTATAGGAATGCATCCAACCTGCAAGCGGTCTGCAGTGTCCTTCAGCTGACAGATGGGCTTTCCAAAGCTACCGCACCTTCAGCCTCTCCCTAGCACCGCTAACGTCAGTGACACCTTGCGTACCTGCCCAGCACCGCCCTGCACGGGGTCCTATTGCCCTCACTCCTGCAACGAGCCCTCTGCAGAGAACCTGCTGCCATGACCATCAGCCTCTTCGCACGACAGTTCACCGCGGTGCCCGTAGACGCTCTCCCACAACAACCAGCCATGTGTCAGCTCTACAGGCCGGTAGTGATCCTACAGTAGGAAACAACGAGAAGCGATGCTCTCCTGTGACTTGCTGACAACTAGACTCCCCCGAGTCAGGCACACTTTTAGCCTCGGTGCCCGTATGCCCCATCCATAGAATCACAGAATCGTTAAGGTTGGAAAGGACCTCTGAGATCATCGAGTCCAGCCTGTTAACCTGACTGCCTGGTCCACATCTAAACCCTAAGCACCACATCCACAGGTTTTTTGAATACTTCCAGGGACCGTGGTTGTACCACTTCCCTGGGCGTTCATGGTGACAGCTCCCTTTTGGTAGGTCCTACGGATGTGTCAAATGAAGGGACAACCCCAACTCCAAAGAGTTTCCCAGGGATTGCAGTAGGGTCCTCAAACTGGAGCTGCCTCATTTACTTTCTGGCCACTGAAGGCTGTTTCTTAACTCTCTGGCTTCTTGCTTTGAAACAAGGGTTAATGCCCCCATGGAGGGCTGGGAGGGGCGAGGGAGGGCCAAGGTGTGATGAGCTTGTGGGCTTTGCAGATCTGGGACAAAAGCATCAAAACACGCTTACAGCACTCAAACAATTTCCTCACAAGGGAGAAGAGTGATTTCTGGCCCAGATTAAGCACATGCCCACAAGAAAATCTCTCATGTCCTATAACTTTCCCCTTTGTCCCTTGACATACCTTCTGGGCAAGCCAATGCCACATCTCATTTTCAGCCCTACAGCCACTCCCTGACCCAGATGCTCCGTATGCAGAGATGGCAGGGTCATTTGGTCAAGCCTCCTCGAAGACATCTGCTCCAGAACTAGCTACCTACAACACCCCAAACGCCTGCAGCCCAGGGTAGTGCCTGTAAACAGCCGAGCAGCACAACATGCAACACCCCTGCACTATGCTCCATGTATCCCCTCCCAACACAGCCAGCAAACCCATCAGCGCCACCAGTAAGACACCAGCTGGAGAGGCAGCAGGATCATGCACGAGGCCCAACACCACATCTGGGGGTTGACCTCTGTAGCATCCACCTGGCAAAGGACCCAGTGGCTTCTCAAGATGTCTGTGCAAGGTTGGAGGCGGTTTGTTGGCTGCATGTTGTGCTGCTTCTGCTCCCGGTTACTGCAGGGACCTCGGACACTGGTGGTCTCATGCGCCCTCCTGCCTTCTGCACATGGTGCACAGTTTGGTCTTTCCAGGGATGGAGGTGCCTTAGACTACAAAGCATTTGGATGAAAACCCAAAGGCACGTGGTGTGTGATATACACGTCTGAAACGTCACTGCACAGCGAAGGCTGCCAGGCGGGGGAGAAGCCTGAAGAGTGCTGATACATTAAAAAACCCTACAACCAAAACCCCACAAAATCCCACCACGAGAGAGAGACACAGCCGCAGGTGCTACGCAGCATCAAAGCCTATCTTAAAGCAGCCTAACATTTTTTCAGCTGCTCCGGAGTCTGACTTGAGATCCTGACTTCAAGTGCAAAGCACCCGGGCCAGGCTCGGCTCATCACGCTGCTCGCTGGTGCTTGTCCCACCGTCCCTGCGATGTGAACGGCTCTATCACAGTGGGATCTAAGGGAAAATAAATTACCCATCACATTTCGTTTCCAGCTACTTTTGCACCCCCTTGGAAAACCAGGTTTCTCTTTGCAAAGCAGCCTGCTTGTGTCAGAAGAAGAATATTCTGGGGATAGCTTGTTTGGGTTTTATTTGTTCCCCCCCCCCGCAATGTTTGGAGAGCATCTTTGGCCTCCCACGTAAATTCCAAGTTTCATTTATTAAATACCTCACTGGCATTTTCTTTTCGCTTTCACACTGCTCGTTTAATATTACATTTGACATTCTAAGCTTTATGGATGGCAACAGAAGCAGAATGGGTGGGCTAAAAATAGCCTGCCAGGGAGATGGGAGGCTAGAAATAGGCTTGTGAACAACAGCAGCCCTGCTACCCTTTGCTTGCCCCCGTGTTTTGGGAAATGACAGCATTCAGGAGATGAGAAAGAGCGATCTCGGGGCGAGTCGGTGCCCGCCGAGCCGCAGATGGCCCAGCCGAGCAGCCTGGGGATGGGGACAGGGATGGGGATGGGCCGTCCCTGTCCCAGCTCACCAAGCGGCTGCAAACCCCATCGCCTTGAGCTGGGGCTGTGAGAACCCGTCCCCTTGGCAGCTCAGCGCTAGAGGGGGACATGTTAAAAACGAAGCAGGAGCGGCCAGTCTCCGAGGGTGCCGCGGAAAGTCCGTCTGCACCTAACTCCGACCACCAGCCAGCTGCGTGTCACCTCTGGCCATCTGCACCAGCTCATTGTCACACACGCGTGCACAAGCTCTCCTGTCCCTGCATGGTTTGGTAATTAATCTGCAGACACATCAGCAATGAGTCAGTCCCGAGACAGGATCATGTCTCATCTCCTCCCTCGTGGGCTGCTTTTAAAATTAGTGCTGCAGAAGAAGTGACAAGAAGAGAACGCTCAAAGCGTCGTGGCACCTGGATCGTGCACCAAGCAGGCACAGAGAGCTGGGGAGAATATCTTTTAATTATCCGCGACAACAAAACACCAACAGCCTACACTGTTTCTTTTGCTCTTTGTGATCTTCCTCAAGTGTTTTCGCCTTGTCCCATCCTCCACGTTCCCTGCACTGCTGTTACCTTCCCGTGCAGCCTTTCATCTGCGAAGAAACCCTCCCAACACCTCTCCTACCGCTCCTCCCCTAGCAGGGGGCTGCAAACAGCTGGGTAAGATTTTTACAGTGCAGGAGTGCAGATCCCACTAGGAAGCGTCAAGTAATGTGCTCTGCCCCGCTGCTGGCGCCGGTTTTGCTGGGACACACCACCACCCTGCTGCTCCCTCCAGCCAACATCCAGCACCTCGCCAGGGCAACACCGGGCAGCGCTGATCTGCATCGGGCAAAGGCTGAGCCTTGCTCCACAGAAAACACTACTGTGTGAAATAACTAAACATATGGAGTATGACATGGCACGCACCCACCCGCGATTAAGCGGTAGGAAAATCCTGGAGCGCGGCACTGTAGCTCTTCCCTCCCAACTGACAAGTCTTACCTAAATTTATATTCCAAGCATTTCTAATTTGTTGCTGGGTCTGTCGTCTGGATGCTGGGGTGGGGGTGGTTGGGGCTCATTCTTTTTGTTTTAAGGCAGATTAATCAGTGTTTAGTTTAGGAGTTTAGTGTTTAGTTTAGTTTAGGAGCCTCCCCCACAACCCACGTGTCTCAGGCGAGGCATGGCTGGTGCCAGGCAGGAAACCCCAGAAGCAGGAGGAGGCTGGGGAAGCAGCGAGAGGCTTGGACAGGGCAGAGGCAGAGCCCGCGGCACCCATCGGAGATGGAGCGAGAGGCTTCCCGCCAGGCAAGGGGAACTGCCCCAGCCCTGCCCGGCCCAGCCCACCACTCGCTTGGCCAAGGGGACCCTTACTTTTATTTCAGATGCATACTGCGGTGAGGAACAATATGAAGAATATTATTTCAGTGCCCTGGGAAAAATTAGCAAGTCAAATATTGAATCAGGCCTCCAGCATATGCCAAGGAGATTGCTTTGATCTTATCCACACTAAAAGCTCTATTATTGAATTTAAAGCCTGTGAACACATATCAGACCAATATACAATGCATATCTGAATACACATTTGAGAAGCAAAGGATGTTTTGACAAAGGGAAAAAGAATATTTTAGCTGAAAATATCAAAGTTACTGCATCAGTTGAAATACAAATGCCCTTTTTCACCTGGCTCAGTGGCTTTACTGACAGGGCAACCTGCAACCTGGGACCTGACTGTCATTTAGAAGAAACTTCACCCAGGTCTGGCTCCTGGGTTGGGCCTGGGTGGAAAGTGACTGCGTTTCGATGGCAGAGAGCCACGACTTCCCAGGGCAGACGGTCCAGCAGGCAGCAGCAACGTCAGAGCAGCATCAGGACTTGGGAGCTCGACCAGAACAGCTATGTTGGGAGCACACGGTCTGTAACAGCTACCCCAGTCCACTTCCCTCCTGAAAACCCCTAACGCAGCTGTTCAGCGCCTGCCACAGCTCTTCCCAAGAGCAGGGGTGGAGAAGGAGGGCTTCTCCAGGGCTGGTCAAGAAGCTGAGCAGGTTGATTCACACCATCTTTGGCTTCCACACCAAAACCTGCTCTGGGGCGGCTGCCTGAGCCCGCAGACAATGCCTGTGCTCGTGGCGGGGACAGACACCCATCCTGCTGGCGCGGGGACAGGAGCAGCGCCCAAGCAAGCCACAGTCAAGGCTCAGCAGCCTGTCCCCATGACACCTCCGCCAGGCACGGTGTGCCCAGCACCCAATTAACCTCACGGAGAAGGTTGTCCCAAAGGGCCACCACCCAGGCATGGCACGTGTCTGTGAGAAAGGGCGAGAGCTCGCTGCCACTGGCATGCGCTGCGGAACAAAAACAACTCACCATTTTATTATTGATTTCGTGGAAATGAATTTCACAGACTTTTTCCACCACGTCTTCATTTTCAAAAGTTACGAAGCCAAATCCTGTTTAATAAAGAAACAAAAAGGGGAGGGGGAAAGGAAAATATTAGTTAAGTTAAACAGATTTCATTTTAATAAAGCATTACTAAGCCATTGGGACTTTGGAAAACTTTCATAAAAATATGCACGTGTAAATGCACCTGCTGTCTATGGAGCTGTTGCTGAACTTATAGACTAATGGAGGGAAGAAGCATAGTCTCAGGGAAAATTAATAAGGTTCTGTTCCAGCTCTTCCACAGGACTTAATGGAGAATTAAAACCTCCTTATGGATTTTTTGATCCATCCTGCAGAATTTAATGGATAGTTACACCCTGGTTACATGATGGCTCAGAAACTACAATAAGGCCATATTTTCTTTTACACCTTATAGGTTTTTAAGAGCAATCTCTACAAAACCCAATTATATTTCTATGGAATCATATTGATTTTATCTCTTGTTTAATTCCACGGGACTTCTCCATTAGAGCTGACTCATTACACGACCCAAAAAAATAAAAATCCAGGAAGACAGAAGATGATTCCTCATTGACCCCTCACTACCCCTGGCGAGGAAAAAAATACCAATGCTTCCCCAAACATGCAGCAGCACTTTGTGGTTCCATTCACTTTGAGCAAACACCAAACGTCCCCGCCGCTGCGTGCCGGGGCCAGCGGCGCAACCACCGCAGCTCCGTCCCGTGCGGATGCAGCCGGCCCTGCAGGTCAGCCGGGCTCCGGAGGTGGTTATTTGTCCCTTTCTTCCTGAATTACTTCCTCTAATACCTCATCAGGACATCCTGAGGCCTCCAAGAAACCATTATGTTTAAGGCCTCTGATCTAATCATTCCCCTCTTCACCACTGCTGCTTCAAAGGAGCCGTGGATTTGGGCTGGTTTAGGGTCGTTTGATGCCTGCTGCCTGCCTGTAGCTGTACGCTGTATTTGCTCTGCTGGGGCCACTCGGCTGCAGGCATGCTGCACTAAAGAAATCTGGCAGCCCACCACAGCTATACACAGTCGTGTTCTCTGCTCATTCCTTAAAAAACCCAATAGAATCAAGCTAATAAACAAAAAAAAAAAATCTGATGTGTTACATTTCTGGCAAAGGCTTGATGAGTCAACATCGACACCAATTAAGCTAGTGGAATCTTAAAAATGTACCAAGAGGATGAACTTCATCCCCCAAACTGCCCTGAAAACTCTGCCGGACTCAACGCTGGTGAAACGGCACGTGACGTCTTCATCGCACCAGGCTGTGAGCCAAGCGAGCCGGAGCTGGGGCATCCCCAGCAGCAGCCTTCGCCCCCCAGCTGGGGCGATGGGGGAAGGAAGAGGGAGGGGAAACCAATGCTGCCCGCTGTTGTTTTCTGTTAATAGCTTTGCCCAGTGAGCATCCCTCCACTCAGCCGTGCACGGCAGCAGAGCAGTTTTGTCTTTGCTGACTTCGAAGGAGCCGGCTCCCGTCTGCTGCTGGCCGCGTGTCCGTCCATCCCGTGCTGCCCATCCCAACCCCCCGGCTGTGCAGCCTCATCTCAAACCCATTTTGCTACTGACACTTCCCATCTGCAATTAGCACCTTCCCGTACTGGCCCTGCTCCCCCTCCAGCAGCGGCGAGTGCCGTGGCTGTGTCCGGCCAGTCCCAAGTGCCACCCCCAACCTGCTCCCTCTGCCAAACCCAGTGCTCCCAGCAAGCGCCCAGCAGCAGGCAGGTTCTATGCTGGGGTCCCAAAGCAATACTTCATCATTGTAAACACACACTGGGTTTGCTTTGATGGGACACAGCAGAAGATGTTAAAACTATACAGGTTTTGGCAACCTACAGGTACAAGATACATTTTGCAGGCTACAATATTTGAAGCTGTAACGTGCGTTTGCTGGCTCCTGCACTGGCCGAGCCGAGGTCCGAGCAGCTCCCAGACAGCTTGTCTGGGAATGCACAGTACACGTAGCAATGGTCCATTCCTCTTTGGACCCTCTTCGTGGGGGAAAAAACACCAGAAATGGTTTCTAGATCTCCTCCAAGGCGTAACACATCATCCGACAGCACATCGCACTCAAACCCAGTGCTCAGAACAGTATTTTACTTTGCACTTAAAGCACGTAGCAGCTTGAAGTATTTTACTTAACTCAAGTCTTTCATTTGCCTTCTAAATTACTCCATTTAAATCTACCTTAAACAGACCTGTAGTTAAACCTAAAATTTTTGTGGTTAACTGGCTGAATACGGCATCCCAAGAATCCCGGAGCACGCTGCGTCGGGCAATTACCGGAGCTGGGAGCAGCGTGCCGCCGGGGACCAGCTCTGCCCAGCGCAATGAGACGGCCAGTCCGGGTCTACAAGTCATTAATTGTTTGAGCACCAGCAACATCTTCATCATTAGTAACTCATTAGCGAGTACTGCAGTTGAGGATTTCGCTTTCAACTTTTGTCAGGTCTCACTGCCAGGATGGAGGAGAGAGAGGGAATTTAGAGGAGATTAGCCTTAATATGCATAACACCGCAAGAAAGCCCACTGCAGTCATTACACATTTGGACTTGGAAACAAGTTTCCCATTCTCATCCCACTCCATATGGCTTAAGCACAGGTTTATCAAGAAATTATTTGTCTGATTAAATCAGATAGCTACTCAGCTTTCTGCATTTACAGATTTTATAACAAGAATAAAATAACAATCCATAGATGTCAACACTCATTTGCAGGTTTTTAAAAGATCTATGCCACTTCCCACAGGCCAGCCTAGCTGCCTTGGCAAGAAAAAACAGACGTGTTTGGGTCTGTAAGCAAACCCAACACCATCTTTTATTCCTTCCTCTCTGGAGCGGGCAGACGGGCAGGGCAGGCAGCTCCAGCGGGCAGGGGGCTCGCAGGTTCAGGCCCGGAGCCCACGCAGGGCACTCGATCCATAGCTGAAGGCCCACGATGTTTTACCTTTACAACTACCGACATCTTTAACTGACTGGGAAGCAACCAGAGGATTTAAATCTGCACGCATACAGGCACTTAAAATCCATAGGATGCTACTGAAGAGATGCTACCGCTCCTTAAACGAACAATCCTCAAGAGATCATATGCCCCAGAATTAAAAACTTCATAAAAGTGACGGGTAACGGGTCCTTTTTTTTGTTTCGCTTTCTGAATATCAGATTCCAACTTTTAGTAATTGCACACACAAAAAAATATTACTGCATGCATGCCTTATTAGTTAGCATAATGAATACATGCTCATTTTTAAATTACCAAAAGGCTCAGAAACCTTCCTGGACTAAACAGACAATTATTTCTTCTGAGAGGTACTAAGAGTCAACAAAAAAATGGTGCTCGGAAAGTGTATGAAAAAGATTAACACAAAACAAAGAAGGCTGTTTAAAATGGTGACATAAATAGGATTCCGGTTGTCAAGGAGCACACATTTTAAAATGAAATTATACCACATCCTTCTGAATGAAGCTATTATTGGAAGCTAACAAGCTCTATTTAAGAGATAAGCATTTAACAGAGTCAAACGGTTGGGTTTTTTATTCAAATGAATAAAACTGAATATTCATTTGAATAATCTTTTCTGTAAAAGAAAAGGCAAAGAAGAGGGAAAAAATAAAATAAGAGGCAAACAGATGCCCCCAAACGAGAGGCTCTGAGCCAAGCGCGATCACTAAAGGAAGCCGAGACATGTATTCACGACCTTCAGGTGAAAAAACCCTCCTTCAGCATCTGCTCAGAAAAAGGAGTCATTTCACTCTATTCATCCGCTGGTTAATGGGCACCGACAGGCGCCAAAACGATGCGCGAGGATCTCCCAGAGTCCCGGCGGCTGGGAGCTCTGCTCGTGGACAGGGCAGGCGTCCGCGTGCGTGCGGAGCTCCGGCTAATTGCCAGGAATGATCTGGGCAAAGGAAGGAGACGGAGGGGGCTATCCAGCGGAAAAGCTGCTTTGCAGTTACTGTATGAGAAGGCCCAACAATTCAACTTGAACAAGTCCTCGCCGTTGGCGTGCAGGTGGCCCATCGGCACGGGGCGGCGAGTGCTACCTCTGCTCGGGGTCTCTCTGCCTCCAGATGCCCAGTGGTCTCGGGGGCTGCACCTCCCAGGGTGGCAGCTCTGCTCTTTGCCCAGTTGATCCACTCCCCCCCAGCCCGCCAGCCCTCCCGTGTCCGACGAGGGGCCGGGCTTTTCTCTTGGGCCTGCAATTTCACCCAAGTGGTTGAAGATTTCTCATCCCATCACCCCCAAATCACCATCCTTCCTACCTCCCCAAGTGCACATCAACATGGAGACACTCAGGACATCTAGCAAACCATCCTGTTTGATCTCCACAACTGCGCTTGCAGCAGCTTTGCAGCCTCCGTTCATACTGCCCATGAAGATGTGGAGATGCCAAAGCCTCATTTCGGAGGGATGAGGATGAAGGCTGGGGCCCGCAGGCTCTCGAGGAGGACAGCAGAAGTGCCACCCAGGCGGGCACTGGAGAGGTCCCCTCCGGTCTGACCTTGCTGCTTCCCGTGGCAGCAGGTTTTGGGAAGAGGACGGCTCACTTCCAGCATCCCGCACCCCGTGGGGTCCTCCCGCGGCGCTGATGGCCGAGCGGGCACTCGGTCTGCTCCAGCCCGCTCCAGCTGTGTGGCTGCTCCTGCCTACAGCAACACGTGGCGGGCACTGAACAGGAGTCCACTTCTTCAGGTGACGTATTTTACTCGCTGGGACTTTCTGCATCTGTTAATTAGAAGCTAAAATGTTTGGGGGTCAATTAGCAGAGGACGCAGCTGCCTCCAGTTGAAGTAAAAGAAGCTGAAGGTACTCAGTACCCCTTCAGACCAGATCCCGTTCAGGATGGCTGGCTGGCAGAACGGGGCTTTTTTAACAGTGACTCAGAAAAGGGGATTTTTTTCCACTAGGAAACAGATACAAGTGTATTATTCACAGGGGAGGGAAAATCTGGAAGAATACACCTCTTAGTGTGAGGCAAGACAGCCTCAAGTATCCAAATAACCCTGAGTTCTCCTGGAAACATTTCCAATGAGCCTGCA